TGTTCCTAATTTTTGATTCCATATGCTGATTTTATTCCAAAAGAAGTCTGATTAGACTTTAGGTTAAAATATGCATGATAAATATTCTTGTAGCCGTTGCTTTTACAGGGAAATTTCTGTTTTCGGTATTAAGCATATTCTTAAAGAATTTCATATTTAAATGATGGAATCCATTTAATTCTTTTATCCATCCTCCTCTTCCCCCTCCTCCTCCTCCTCCTCCTTCTTCTTCTTCTTCTTCTTCTTCTTCTTCTTCTTCTTCTTACTATGTCCAGTCTTCCTTCTTCTCATTCTTATTTTCCTCCTACCTCTTCTTTTCCTACACCCTTTTCCTCTTTTTCCTTGTTACTCGTTCTCCTTTATCTTGTCGTCTCCTTGTCCATATTGTCTCCGTTCTCCTCCCCTTCTTCTTGTCGTATTCTCACCTCCACTTTTTTCTTCTTTGAACTCTCTTCTTGTCCTCTCTTACTCATTTTATTATTCTTCTCCTCCTTACTCATTTCCTCTTTTTCCTTCTTGTCCTCCTCATTCTTCTCGTCTGACTTCTCCTTTTCTTCTTTTTTTTCTCTCTCATTTGTCCTCCTCTATCTTGTACTTCCTCCTCCTCGTTCTTCTTCCTCTTTATTCAGATCTGTGGCCATACTACTTGCCCCTTTTGAATATGTACTTCTGAACATTTATCCAAGCCTCACTCCATCGTTTTTAGCGTCACTAGGGCTTTTAACAATTTCTAAACGTCCTTGTATTTCTACATCATCCTTAGCGTATAATTCATGTCGTCCAAGTTAAAAAAAGGAAATATATACCTGATGATGTCGATTCTCATTTTCTATCCATACCTAATTTGGATCAGTTTAGCGGAAGAAGTGAAATGGCGAAAAAAATAAACATTCCCCTTCGAATATATCAATATTTATACTTATATATTTCTTTGTTTTGATACCATTTGATCAAGAGAAAAAATTGAGTTACACAAGGAAATGACGATCATTTAAAATATCTTAAAATGCTAAAAGGCTTTTATTAATAATGAATGGGTAAGAATGTCAAATGTCTATTGGTAGTCTCTCAATGAAGCGTTGTTTCTTTTTATTTATGTTTGTAATTAGAAATTTCTACAGTCATGTGATTTGTCAAAGGTTTTCTCCTTCTTCTTGTCGCGTTCTGTCCTTCCTTCATTTGTCCTTTTCCTCATTATTGTTCTCTGCTCCACTGCCTTCTTTTTCTTCTTCTTACACTCTTCCTACTTCTTCTTGACCTCCTTCTTCTTGTTGTTCTCCTCCATCTTGTTACCTTGTCATTCCTTCTTCTCCTCCTCCTCCTTCTTCTTCTTCTCCCCCTCCTCCTCCTTCTTCTTCTTCTTCTTCTTCTTCTTCTTCCATATTCGAAAATATTTTCACTCTATCGGAAACAAATAGTCATTCTTCATGACGATAGATATTCTTTCGAGCAGTATTGGTGTTTGTATTTTTTTAACTTGTTCCGAATTATGGTTATCTTCCCTAAAACGTAACGGTTGCTAACATGTTCAGTCCATCATCGATCTGTAGAACACCATTTTTTATCCCTCATGTCTCCTCTTCATCTGTAACGAAATTGTCCAGCTGTCAGTTCCATATAAGATGACTGATATTACATTAATTTTAATTGTCACATTTTTATTTTCCAACCCAAAAGTTTGTTAGATATTGTGTCCTTTTCAGATTTTCCGCTTTATATTGCTAAAGAGAAATTAAGAAAACGTATTTTCTAGCAATTATAAATTAGAGTAATATCTGTAAATTCATCCTCCCACTGCTCCTATTAGTTCTTCTTTGTTCTTCTTGTTCCACTTCTCCCTCTTCATGTTTTCTTGTCCCTCTTTGATCTGTCTATTTCATTTCTCTGTATTATTATTGACATTATTATTATTATTATTATTATTATTATTATTCTCCTTCTTCTTCTTCCTCTTCTCCTCCACCACCACCTCCTCACCTCCTCCTCCTTCTTCTTCTTCTTCTTCTTCTTTGTGTCATCCTCCTTCTTATTCTTGTTCCCTTTCTTCTTCTTCTTCTTCTTCTTCTTCTTCTTCTTTGTCCAGCTCTCAGTTCCATATATGACGACCGATATTACATTAATTTAAATTGTTACATTTTTATTTTTCAACCCAAAAGTTTGTTACATTTTGTGTCATTTTCAGATTTCCCGCCTTATATTGCTAAAGAAAAAGTATGAAAACGCATTGGCGTAATAATTGTAAATTCATACGGCCTCTTTTAGCCGGTTATTTTCTATGAAACTCAATAACTAATATTAGCAAATCTGTCGGAATCCATCTACCTAGGTTTTTGATGCAATCCAAATATCGGGATTCCAAACATTTGACAACAACAACAACAGCAACAACAGCATCTTTCAAATGAAGCAAGAAAAAGGTTATTTTCTGAAGGAAATGTAGAAGCCGAACATCAATTGAAATAGCATTTTTATTGAAATAATATTTAATTAATAATTAATTTTGTTAAAATACCTACTGATGGTAGCAACAACAATTTTTTAATTAATTATCAAATAATCTGGTTAACAAGGGCTGTAGCAAGATCAGTAAAAAAAAAATCACTTTTTTTTCCTAATTATAAATATGTAATTTATTATTTATAGAGTATTTGTTTTCATTAACAGGAGTAGATAGGTGCTCTTATCGTCCGACCCGAACACGACTTTATAAAGGCAGATACTTGTCGTAGGAACACATTCAAATAATACTCGCACAAATAATACTTATTCAAACAGTAATCGCTGAATAGTAATTTGAATAATGATCACTATAGAAAAAGGGTGTAGTGGATAGTATAGAGAATAGCGATCACTTAGACGTCACGCTAATTCCCATTACCACGTTTCTTTTAAGATCACGTGATCTATTTATTTAATAATGGGATCGCTCGTGTTGGCTTACTGGTGATCTATGTTCAAACTACGGTGTCGGCAACGACACTTTATTCCTATACAACATTAATAAGTGTGTAAATTTTCTAGCAAAACACAGGGAACTACTTTCCTCTAAGAGCAAACCTATGATCTGACTCAATATAATCTTTCCACCACATGATAGCGGAAATTGTTAGCCCTAGAAATCGCAATAAGTCACTCTCCAGGAGGTTAGGGTTAGTTTGTTTCTCTCGCACTTCTAGCTTGTGGAACTCTATTCCATGAAGATGGAAGTTAAAAAGGATTCTATCAGACAATGAGAAGAAAGCAATTTCGTTTTAAATAAGACATTTCTTAGTAATGTTCAACTTTGTTTAATTCTGTGTAGAATCTACATAGTTCTTATAGTTTATCCGTTTTTCTTTTAACAAATATCACCATTATTTAAAATGAGTACAGAACTTGTATTATGTTTGCTGTATTATAGCTATTACGGTGAGTATTACTGGAACACATATAAAAGCCTTCAATGTATACATTATCACGTGTCACCAAATTCATATACAAGAGAAAGGAAACTCTTTCGACACGCACGGATACAAATGAAAAATATTTGAAAATTGAAAAGTGTAGTAAATTTGTAGAAGTGCTACTTTTCCATTTTTTTAAAATTCAGTCATTCAAAGAAATATCAGAAACCATATTATCTGGAGAGACGACAATAAAAGAAAAAGATTATGTTTTTTTTTTTATGCGAAAAAGGTCAAATTAATTATCACTATCCATGGTATATGGCAAAAGAAACTGGACAGAAGGTGGCATAATATGTCATCGGGGTTGGCAACTTAAAGTACATGCAGGAACACCTATCCTTGTGCAACATGGCACTGCAAATACCGCGATGTTATGGAACTTTTGACAAGAGCAATCTGCCAAAGCACTACCTAAGAGCCCGGTTTCAATACTTATAAATTGGGATTGATTGATTCGTTTTTTATAGATTATCAACCCTTCTGCAGGTTTTTTAACGCCAGAAAACATATTTAGATTGTAAGAATCTTTGTCTCCTTATGCAAGATAATAAGGGTTTAGTGATAAATATCTTTTTATTTTTTATACACTTTTTTTAGATTTTTTATACACCTTTTTTGGATTTTTATTCACCTTTTTTTTTTTTTTATACATTTTTTAGATTTTTTATACACCTTTTTTGGATTTTTATTCACCTTTTTTTATTTTTTTATACACATTTTTTAGATTTTTTATACACCTTTTTTGGATTTTTATTCACCTTTTTTTATTTTTTTATACAACTTTTTTAGAGTTTTTATACACCTTTTTTGGATTTTTTATACACCTTTTTGGGATTTTTTATACACCTAACCCATAGCTGGGCGGAGATTAATTGATACGTTTCCCAAGGATATATATAAGTGAATATAACGTAATATAACGAACCGAACAGGAATAGGAACCCGGCTCTCCGATTAACAATTCCGAGCCACTAACGATTACACCAACCGCGCATCCAAGTTTACAGCACCTGGTATTCCAAGTTAGTAACCTGGCTCAACTTTCCTTAACTTTGCTGATCGTACGGGAAACAGTGTTTCAAAGTGATTGGAACTGGGCTCTCCGATTAACAATTCTGAGCACACCCAAACTTACAGCTCCTGGTATTCCTAAATGGTTACTTATCTTGGTACTGACCAGGCTCTACTTTGCTTAACTTGTTATGGCTGTAAGCCAAGTTGGAATGCAACAACCTGTAAACTTGCATCCTATGTACACGCAAACTGAAAAGTCACAACCACGTATCTCTCCGATGTTCACAAGGTGAAATCATTAACGCAAAGGAAGAAAGAATGGTAACAAGGGATAAACCTATATTCCTGTTCAATAACCATCAAAGGAATATTAGCCGGGAGATAGGCCCTTCATAATTTCAGTTTTTTTTTAAATTTCTATTTTGTATTCCTACTTTTTTATACACCTTTTTTAGTTTTTTATACACCATTTTTAGATTTTTATACAACTTTTTTGGATTTTTATACACCTTTTTTAGATTTTTATACAACTTTTTGGATTTTTATACACCTTTTTTGATTTTCTATACACTTTTTTTTTATTTTTTCATTTTTATTCATCTTATTTTATTTTTTATACACCTTTTTAGATTTTTTTATACACCTTTTTTGGATTTTTATACACTTTTTTGGATTTTTATTCACCTTTTTTTTAATACTCCTTTTTTAGATTTTTTATACACCTTTTTTGGATTATTATTCACCTTTTTTATTTTTTATACACCTTTTTTTAGATTTTTATACACCTTTTTTGGATTTTTTTATACACCTTTTTTGGATTTTTGTCCACCTTTTTTGAATTTTTGCCTATAATGCATTTTTATTCTATAATTTTTGCTGAAACATATAAAATTTCATTAACTTCACGCATCATTATTTAATAAAATACGTTGTGGAAATATTATTCTTCTTTCTTTTATTTTAATTTTGTTTATTCATAACTATTTTCCCTGTCTTCCATATTCTTAAGTCTCATCTTTGAAGCAACATTCAGTGATTGATCCGTCATTATTCGACATCAGGATTGTCTATATTTTTTTTTATCTTAATCCTTTTCATTTCCTACGTTAAGATTTATATCTAGGCATTAACCCATTATTTAGTCGTGTGTATGACGATAAACGACATCAAGCAGCATGGCCTCCGATCGGGAGATGGATGGTTTGACGAACGTGGAACAAACTCTTAATTGGTGTTGTACTCATGCCCATCATCACCCGTGATGGTAGCACATGTTATGGTCCCAACTAGGGGTAAAGTGAACCCCCATCGAAACACTAGGAAAGTATAAAAATATACTTTTATAATAAAAAACCAGTAATACATTTTTATATTAAAAACATTAACAATAATACATATTTATACTAAAATTACAAACAATATGCACATACTAATACATTTTGGTGACATCACACAAATCCGTTTAAAATATTACTAAAAACAATACCAGTAACAGATTTTATATTTTAAAAAAGTGACCAACAATACATATAGTAAAATGACCAACAATACACTTTTATCTGTAGTTGAAGATATAAAAATCTGCGTTCAAAATATATTTAGTTGAAGCCATATAATCGTGTTCAAATTATTTAGATTCCAGTATTAAAATACCCATAGATGTTGATAAACCGCTAAACAAAATCAGCCAGCCAGTGAAACAACCATCAGGAAAGAACTCTTTAATGATATTAATCTCTATAATGTCCTAGAATTTCTGAACTGTATTCCAAAATATAAATTCAACAGAACCACAACGTAACACACCCACATCAACTCCTCTAGTAATTATGTCCTCACAAACATATATTAGGTTGGTGCAAAAATAATGACGTAAGAATGTCGTTTTTTGACGTTAAAAAATACGTCAAAAAACGACATTATTACGTCATTATTTTTTGCACCAACCTAATATATACATAAAAGCTGAGCACCATCTACCATGTACGCTATTGTCAAAGAAGAATAACATATATCCTACTTTGATTACTTATATGCTCCCAAGAAAATAATACCCATCAGGAATTGATATGCCGTTAAACAGACAAATGAATCAATCATAAACCATAATTACCCACAACAGATCTACAGTCATTTTCATCTGTGGAATAAACAGAAACTGTTATGAACAAACATTTACATCTTTCCTTCCAGATTTTCCCGCCTATTCAATATCAGTATTGTTTTGTTACCGGCCATTTTGCTCAGATCTATTTCAACATTTTCAACACTATTATTATTATTATTATTATTATTATTATTATTATTATTATTTAGAGTGGTGTTTTTTTTTTTTGTTTTTTTTTTTTTTACGGATATTATACATTTTTTATTACTGAGAAGCATACGAAAATTGATATGTTATCTCTTGCAAAGTGGTGTGCATCTTTTGTTGCGCAGTTTCCCTACTCTCTTTCCCCCTCACTATCTATCTATCTATCTATCTATCTATCTATCTATCTATCTATCTATCTATCTGCTTCTATCGCCATAATGATAATTAATTGCTTACAAATGGATTCAGATAAAAAAAAGTTTCTTCGTTGCCGGGAGTAAAAATATCAATCTTACAAATTACCAAAAGCCAAAAAAAATTTATTTCTGAAAAATTGTCTAAACTGAAACTATTTATTGCGGATTTACACAGTTACATTCGTTATATATATATATATATATATATATATATATATATATATATATATGCACATTTCATTGAATACGACAGACAAGATGCTTTGATTTAGCTTTTTTTATGAAATTTCTCGTGCGATCTAATAACGTTTTTCTTTTCAGATGATAATTTATATAAAAACTCCCCGAATGTTTTTTTTAATCCTTCGCTTTCAGCTATACATTTAGCCATTTTAAAGGATGAAATATTTGAACTATTAAATAAGAAATAGTTTCTTGCGTGTATGTTTTATAATATGATGTCATTTGTCAAATCACGGTCAGGATAGTGTGTCCATCTTCATAGTTGATATTATTAAGTGTTTTTTTCTTGTTTTTATTAATGAGGCTTCCATTATTTTTAGCCTTTTTTTTGCATGTAGATAATGCTATTATATCAGTGTTGTCAACAAGTATGTTACGAATAGTGTCTGGTAGGTCTCTATGAATATATAAATGAGATGTAATTGAGCTATGGTCAGAAAAGTTTAGAGTGAGTCTGCGTCTGAAAATGGCTAAATGTATAGCCGAAAGCCCCCAAATAAAAAGAACATTCGGACAGTTTTTATATAATTTATCATTTGAAAAGAAAAAAAAATTATTAGATCGCATGAAAAATTGTATAAAAAAATAAATAAAAGCGCCTTGTCTGTCGTATTCAATGAAATGTGTCTGAAAGAAGGATTACTACCTAAATATACACACACACACATGTTTGCGCGTATGTGTGTGGTATGGTATGAATCAATGTTCTCTCACGTTTACTATGAATGAGCTTTGGTGAGGGGTTATTGTTATCAAGGCTAGCCATATTAACTATTATTACTGATAAATAGGTTCGATGCTTACAGATTTTGCTCCCTATAAAATATTCTATGCCGAAAAAATTAACAAGCCAAAACAATATATATATATATATATATATATATATATATATATATAGATAGATAGATAGATAGATAGATAGATAGATAGATAGATAATATTAGTGGTAAATATACACATACGCACTGATGATTTGGATCGTATTTACGATTCCAATGGAATAAATTATGACCATGGAATATTAGTGTTTAAGCCTTTTTATATATATATATATATATATATATATATATATATATATATATATATATATATATATATATATGTATGTCACCATGAAATGTATCTTTATGCATTAGACATCCGTCGACTTTCTTTCTCTTTTTAATCCCCCCACATCTCCTAAAATTCTCTCTGTTAAGGTTTCATCTCCCTCCTCCTCATACTTACACTTTCTCTAAATTCTGTTTTGATTTCCGGAGTTGTTTTTTCTGTTTTCATTTTGAATTTGTAGGTCTGATGATTTGGATCGTATTTACGATTCCAATGGAATAAATTATGACCATGGAATATTAGTGTTTAAGCCTTTTTATTATATCCTTACTCTGTCCTAGACATTGAGTTCTACCTGGATTCTTCCTCTTGGAAATTTTTTTTCTGAAAATATACATGTATGGGTATTTTTTTATATATTTTGTATATATATGTATATTTTCCACTAATATATATATATATATATATATATATATATATATATATATATATATATATATATATATATAGAGATAAGAGAGAGAGAGAGAGAGAGAGAGATAGATAGATAGATAGATAGATAGATAGATGTGACATGGTTTCTTTTAGTCCTACTTAATTCTTTTACTAATATACATTTATTTTTTAGTGTTTGAGTTACTATCTTTGCTTTTATTTTTTCTTAAACAATGAAATTAATACACCAGTCGCTATTAATTTGCACTCTTTAAGTAAAAGTAGATATACCATCTATACGTTATACTTTCTAAATATATAACGTTTATATTAACAACAATAAACACACACACACATATATATATATACACACATGTATATGTATGTGTGTGTGCGCGCGCGCGTTCGTTTGTGTGTGATTAAAGTTTAAAAACCTCATGTTAGCCGACGCGTTTTGTCGTCTTAAGGACTTAATCAAGGTATATGTGCTCTCTGCCAACGGGTATTACAATGTCCCATAAAACCAGAAAGGCTTTAAAAGTCCTTTTACACTGCTGATAAAGGAACGTTTTTGAGATATTTGTTTGTCTCGTGTTTTTTATCATTCGTGTTATGTACCTTTCCATGACTAGTGAAACAGATTGTTTTATAACCATTGCTTATGATTTGTCATTAATTGTATTCGGTTACATTTTATTCGGACTGACGTCCCAAATCATGTTTCCGAAAGTGACCCGCTTGTGATAAGTAGTCACAGTCACAGTTTTCAAAAACCTGTTGACTCACAGATGTGTCGATACAATCGTTCTTTCTCGCCGCGAGTTTTTTTTTTTTTTTTCGAGATCGATGCATCCTCTAGTATAATAAACAACTGCAAAAGGTAAAGCCTTGTAACACATTTGACGCATTGGTGTATTTATTTCTCATGATTCTCTATCGAGATCATTCAGAGAAAGGGAAGTTGATAAGGAAACTTGCACACGTTTATATATGGTTGGTAAAAATTTTCGAATAAAGAAAACGGACTATTTTTTGCCAATGCGTTTCATAGTCCCTGAGGGAGTTTTTTTTTTTATAAAAAAAAGTAAAGATTTTATTTTGCAACATCTATACATATATATATATATATATATATATATATGTGTGTGTGTGTGTGTGTGTGTGTGTGTGTGTGTGTATGTATAGGTACCTCCATGAGATCGCTAAAAAAGAGTATAGCATGACGAAAAAGACGTCAAGCTTGACGAAAATAACTTTATGGTCTAAATGTTTATGTTATTATTAAAAGGAAAGATCAGTGTAACTTTGGAGTATTTTTCTACATTTTTTAATCGTTACTAACACATCAAAATTTTCGTTAAAAATATATTTTTTTGAGTCAGCAAAATTGACAGATAATCAATCATGTCAAAGATTTTTTTCCATTTTATAAAAAAAATAAATCTCTGTTTGAAATTCTTTTAAAAATCAATTATAATTTTGTTCAAAACTTATTTTAAGAAAATCAGAAATTATAATATTTATTTAAAATATTTTGAAATAAGCATTACTTATTTTCAGCACCAAAAAGATGTAGTTCAAAATAAAATAAAGCAAGTCATAACATTTCGCGTCACTTGATAAGTGATGAATGACGATTCCATCACGTATTGACAGCTTACGTGATCATAAGTTTTTCTACGGAAGGAGAGAAGTGAAATTATTTAGATTTTAGTGAACAAATTATTTACCTCGTTATTTTTAAGGAAAACTTTAAGCGCTCTAAAGTTTGTTTTGTTTTTTTTTTTTTTTTTTCCTACTTAGCTTTCACCTTTACGTTTACGATGCTTTATGGGAAATATATTACCAAGAAATTAAAATAAGACTGTTGAGAGTGAAATTAAATTTCATAAGAAAAGTATTTATAGGTAACTTTCTTATGGAATTTCATGTGAAGTGTACATAAGATACTATAATTTTATGCACATTTATTACATTTTACTATTGTATTTCCATTAATTTTATTATTAATTTTTATATTTCATTTATGGAAAAATGTCATAACTGAGATTAATATAAAAATAAGATCATATAAATTTCGTAAGATGATACTGATACATGGAGGTACCCTTCTCAGTTAAAATTGAAAGACCAAATTAATTTCCACACGTGTTTCGCAAATATAAAGGCCTTAACAGTGGAGTATAACTTAATTATATTCTTTTTGGTCTTCCGTACTTTATAATTACAGCCGTATTATAAACACAAAATTGCATTTCTTAATTACTGCGGGACTTCTGACTGGTCAAAATTATACAATTTACAATGCGCTAAGAAATTTCTATCTCATAAGTACATTTACGAAACTGAACTAATTTTATATTTTAACAACTTAAATGTAAAAATCTAATATAATTAAAGAAATAACAAATAATTGAATTAAAAATTCTTTTTTCATCGAAAAATTAATTTTGCTTTCAGAAAATATTGTCCATATTTATAAAAACAACTAAAAGCATTTGAAATTAAATAATATCTTCTTTTTTTTATTTAGTTTTGTATGTTACAATTCAGAGCTGATTCTCAGGTAGGAGGTCCAATTAAAAAAATACATGATTTGCTTTCCTCAAAGCCTTGTGCATTTAACTAATATAATCACTAAACTGAATGCGATTGAGTTGCTAGTTTTCATAAAATTAGTTATGGTGGGGTAATAAATATTTAAAAAATTACCTTTTCCATGACTTTAAAAAGAGAAAACATATTTGTAATAATTTCCATCATTTGTGAATAGTTTCTGAAAATTGCTTATTCTTTTTGTTTTTATTTTTGCAAGATTTTCCAAATTAATGTGTGTCATACAAAAATATAAACGTGTATAAAAATTGTAAATGTTATTTTACTAGTCCCGGTGATGTAAAGGTTTTTTTAATCGAAATTTAGATGTTCTAAGAAGGACAATTTTTTTAAAATAATTAAAAAATACTTCGGTCTTTCCTCTAAAAAATAACATAAATATTTAAACGATAAAATTTTGTTTCAAGTTTGGCGTCTTTTTCATCAGACTATTCTATTTTTTAGGAATGTCATGATGGAGCTTATGTGCATATCATGTGTGTGAGTGTGCATATATATATATATATATATATATATATATATATATATATATATATATATATGTACAGAGAGAGATAGAGAGAGAGTAACTCAAGGTAGTGTGTTACAAGGTGAACAAGGGGAAGAAAAAGCAAGATGCGTATATTGTAAGTATATATATGACAGAAAACGTATATATATATATATATATATATATAT